AATATACTTTTAAAAATTTCCTCTCCATTTCATTTTGTTCCGCGATCATATGCGGGGCTGCTGAAAGAAGCTTTTGTTCTATTCTAATTCATTGTTAATTTTAAAGAAATAAAAATGTTAGCTGTGAGCTACACATAAGGATAACACAAGATGAAGACCAATACACCAAACCTAACACTGCTGTTTTGTTTATATTCAGATTAAGGCACTATATATTCCTACCAAGAAAAGGCGCACGAAATTGAAAAGCGATCATCTTTATCACCCTATATTCATTGGATGGATCTTTTATTGGGTCCCATATACCCATAGAACATCCCCACTAGCCATTATGATGCGACATGTTGGGGATAAGAACTTCCCTGCCCAGTCTGTCCTATGTGGTTTAGTGGCATGCTCATAGTCCTTGACTGGTACAGAAAAGTGTGGATTACTTCAATTATTATCCCAGTAAAGATCTTTTAAGAGGTCCAGCAGAAGGAATATCTTAGCTTACTCACTTCTCAACGAGGTTACAACGGGTAATAGAATATTAAAAGTAGAGTCGAAACTGTCACCATCCCAGAATTTTTAATATTCAGACATTGTATAATCTGGATAATTAGATTGATCTCTTACTTCTTTGTCCAGTTCTCCATAGCTGGACATTGTAATTTCAAGGTATTTAATTTCCATTACTTGTTCAATATTGATGCCATTGATTTCTATTTTACATCTGATTGGTTCTTTGCTGATTACTATTGATTTAGTTTTCTATTATATATTTTAGAACAATATTAGTTTTCTGGGTTGAATTTGTCATATTAAATTCTTTTGCTCTTATGTTAAAGCTGCAGACTAGGCTTTGCAGACTATCTTCATCTTGGACTATCAATATTGCATCATCTGTGTAACAGAGTATTTTTATTTCATTCTCTTCCTCTCCCTATCCCCTTATTTTGTATACACTTTTGATGATTTCAACTATGATTAAATTGAAGAGCATATGACTGAATCAAACTTATTTTGCTGCCTATATCTATAGGTTCTATGTGATTTGAATTTATTTTAGAAATTATTATTCTTTTTTTAACTATTTTCGGTTGTAACATAATTTACTAATGGATTGCTTGAAATAAATTGTTGATTTTAGGGCTTTGATAAGCATTTGAGATAAAAAGGCCCCTCACCTTAATTTCTAAAAACCATTATGAGCATTTGTTTCTGTAGTTTTAATATCAATTGTAAATTGTTTGTGTAGTTCTGTTACTGTCAGTGTATTGTAATGAGCATAAGTTCTGTTGTGGCGGCGTTAGAAGATGGCCACAGTCAGCGCGAAACTGCAAGAAACATTGGTGTCTCTCGAGTGTGCAACGAGTATGGCCATAGTACACAGAAATCAGTCTGCTTACTCGAAGACCTAGTTCAGGCTGAGAGAGAATTAAAACAGCTAGAGATGACCGATTTGAAGAAGTAAGAAATGTAAACATAAGTGAATGGACAGTTAGGTGGCAATTTCATGCTATTGGTTTATCTTCTCGAACTAGAGTAACTGAACCACTGTTTTCCCTAAACACTTTTCTTGGACAATACAAGATTGGAGTTGTATATTGCTTTCTGATGAATTGAGATTCAGTCTTATAGAAAAACATATAAGAACAGGGCGATGTTCAGGTGAGAGATGTGCTCAAGCATGTTTTGGAGAGTGACTTCCATTTAATGGAGGGTCAGTTATGACATCTAGAGGCATTGTTTGACACAGATTCTAGAAGACCATATTTTACCATTTATGGTTATTCTTGAAGATGACGCAACATTTATGCATGATAATGCACGGTTTCACACTGTTCAGATAGTTAGTAAGTATCTTGACGAGGTTAAAATCAAAAGATTTGTTTGCTCTATGGACAGTCCAGATATCAATCCTGTAGAACATGTTTGGGATAAGATGAAGAGACATTTACGGAGTCATGTGCTGGACCACAGAAATTTAAAAGAGCTTCACAACACTATAGGTGCAGGAATGGAACATTCTTCGGCAAAATCTGATCCAAAGCAAGCCTCATCATTTGCTAGTTGCTATCACTGGCAGAGGAGGGAATAGTCACTAGGGAAGTTCTTAAAACTTTGTTTATTTAAACAAAAAGCACTTTATGTTGTCCCTTTAAAATTGTCCCTTTTCAATAATTAGTATATCAAAGGAAAATTGTTAATTTTCATTATTTTCCATAATAAACTTTGAATATCATTCAATTATAAAATTTGAAGAAACAGTGTTTTATTTAAGAAATCCGTTAGTAAACTATGTTACAAACAAAAATAGTTAAAAAGCTTCTTAAAAGAGAATTCTTCCAAATTTAATAACATTAAATTTGGAATATACTGACACATCAACCTACACCATAAGGATAGGAAGATGCATGATGGAAGAGCACTAAAAATGATATTCCAATAAATTGAAAGTGATTAAATTTTCAAACGGACAATCAAGAAAAATATTCATTGATATTGTCGACAGATAAATCTGCTGACAAAGCTATAATGCTACCTCATAGGTAATTAATTATATTAATAGACTAATACTTTAATATAAAACAAGAATATTCATTTAACAAGAAGATTCATTTACAAAGTAAGCAACCTTAAATGATCATAATAGCATTAATAAGTACTGGCGATATTAATTATCTCCCATTGTCTTTTCACTACACAGTAGCAGTTTCCTGAACAGTTTTAATGTGGAAACTGACATATGAAATTATCTTAGTGTTAATTACATTTCTTATTTTCTATCTACAATACAATATTATTTCCCTTTATGGCAATGTATTTTCTGTAGTTCAACATGGGTCTTTTTTGATTTTTTGTAATTCCATTGGTAAATCTAAACATTATCATTGCTTGAATATTAATTTGTTTTCTTTACCAAAATAATAAATATAACAAGGTGTAAAGAAATAACATTATTGGTAATATGCAAAACAAAAGAAGAAGTAACTTGTTCCACAGTGAGTATAATTAGATAATCAATGAGTATAATCAGGTAATATAAAATGAGAATTATGATATGTAGAAGAAAATGTAGTAGCCCTCATGCAAAACAAATTCCACCTATTAAAGCAAACAATATGATGAACATTTCTAAGAGTTGTATAAAGAAACTGATATTGAGTGCCAAGGAGATTAAGCATTTCAGAAAAATGTAAGAAACCCACATATAAATAATTTAAAGAACTTATAAGCAAATTAAAAAATAAAAGAGTAGGATGTGATGGAATGTTTGGAGAACTTATAAAGATATTGAAACATTTCAAAAAAATCTAATAACATTAAATTTGGAATATACTGACACAGGAACCTACACCATAAGGATAGGAAGAGCACTAAAAGTAATATTCCAAGAAATTGAAAGTGATTAAATTTTCAAACGGACAATCAAGAAAAATATTCATTGATAGTTTGAAAATTCTTCATCTCAATCTTAAAGTTTCTATGTGATTATTCCACATGCATATGCAATGTTAAACATTATATTCTTGTATTCTTTAAGAGACAGGAAGTTTATTAGTCTATTCTCTGTATTACTTCTTATTCTATTTTATTTTCTTCAACTAATATTTTTCTTTTTTCTTATCTTTCTTCACAACTCTTTTACTCTTAACCATTTCAGCTCCGGCCAAAATTAAAACAACTCAGCTTCATTACTGCAAAAATAATTTCATTTGAATATATAATACACACAAAGTGTGCTTATATGTCAAGAGTACTAATCTAGTCATATTTCAACATTTCCTCCTAAGTTCAGCTATACTTTTATAAGTTCAATTTTCTTATTTTACCAATGTTTTCTATTTATTCAACGTAAAGGCAACTTCATCCAGATTACCACAGTATAGTCTTTTAGTCCAAGCATACTGAATCAATAACATCAACATTTTATACCTTACAAGAATTTTTATTGCTACAGCTGGTTCACTCAGCTTGAGAATATTTTGACTGATTGTAGGAAGCAATAGAAAAATTCATACAACAGTTCCTTAATTAAAAAAGAAGATTAATAATGAATAATGTAAGTGTACATTCATTATTTAGTTTAAAAAAAATTGTATTTGTAAATCCTAATCTATAAACAACTATAAAATTGTAACCTCTGTTTTAATTGATGCAGTTTTACTTGATTATATACTAACTTCCATATACTACATGTGGAAATAAAAATTTGACCAACCTAGAGAATTAGTTGAATAGCTCTGCATAGCTATTCTATGCATCCAATAGTTCTATTCTATTTATTATTTTCTTTTGACCCTTGTCTTATAAATTTTCAACCAGGTTTTTTATACCTATAAAAATAATATTTTTTTACTTTTTGTTCAGCTCAACCTACATTTTAGCTGTTTATGCAATTTGATCTCTTTTGTCATCCAATGTTTTGTAAAATATTCTTAGTTTTTTCTGCATTCCTTATTTTTTTTATTTACTATTCTTTCCTCTAGTGACTAGAGTCTAGTCTCTTGTTTTTCCTAACAGCATTTTGTTTGTGTAATATATTGAAAGAATGCTCTAAATGTTTCCATACATTCATAATATTTTGTTTAATAGCTGTAATTATATTTGTTGATGCAATTTACAACTATCAGTTAAACATGTTTTTGTAAAATTTGCCATTTGTAAATATTATCATAAAATTTATTAGACAAGAAATATTAGAGAAATGTCAAACATGACATATTACAAATCAACTATAAAAACAGTTTTTTATATTGCAATTTTGCTACCTTAACGGTAAATATAATTAAAAACATTACCTCATTACCCCAAAACCATAATTTAAATATTTATTAATAAAATGCACAAACAAAGGGACTGAATTGATATTTTAATTTGAAAACTGTCAATGTGTAGATATATTCATTTACTATGCTATTAATAACATTAAACTAGCCCGAAAACGTATACTAACAGCGTATTTTAGATACACTTGGAATAGAATAAAATTTATATAATAGTGGTTTACTTACCCACAATCTCTCTAATAGTATACTGGTTAGCAGACATTTTGAAGTAAAAAATAAGGCCCACAAATCTATTTTGCTATTGAGTTTCTCAACACTTGCGATAACTGAAATATACGATATGAAATATCAGAAATAGTTTGGATAAAACCGATATTTTGAAGATATTTGGTGATTTGTAGATTGTGATATTTTTGTGCGTGAAAAAGATGGTGACGTCATCTTGGAAGAAGCAGATGGGCGTGTAAAAGTTTATATAACTTATTTATTGTAAATTTTATTGAAAATATAGTTTAGTAGGATGTATTTATGCATTAAATATGTTTATAAACGGCTTTTGGCGTTTGATATGACAATTTTTTGACAAAATGTCAATATTGTCAATAAAATGTCACTGTCTACAAGATATACGCACGAATTTTAAATATAAATTCGAAAAATTCACTTGCCTTTTATCGATAAATATTTTGAACTATTACTTTAGACATTATTACAAGCAATCTACTTACCTAAAAATCTATTCTCATCAAGGCGTCTACTTTCTCACGAAATCGCCATAACTTGTTTGAAATAGTTTGTTCGTTGCAATCACTCCGTGGCTAGCGGAATCAGCCGGTGTAACTTGCATTTGAAATATATCTTCAAACTCAAGGATACGTACGACTAAATAGAAAATATTATTGAAGATAATGTTGAGGTAACATATGCATTATTCCCAAAGATGTAAAATTTATGTTTGATAAAATTATATTCAATAAATTAATTTAACAGAATTAGATAAGCGAACGCACTAAACCAAAGGTTGCTAGAAAAACGATGGATGACATGCTCAATGGAAAAATAGAATTCTGCATGAATAGCGTCACTTTTGCGTATGCTGCCATCTAGTAGTATATTAATATAATGTACTTCATAGATGGATTCCATAATAACTAAATAAACTAAACATATTAATTATTGACATTTTATTGATATAATATTGACAACGAATATTAAGGCATATAGGTCTATATTCGTTGCTATTGATATAATAAAATAAATTTATACATATGAACATTATGAAAATAGGCATTTAGGAATTTATAATAGTCGAGTATATTGCCAGTTGTCAGGCTAAGTAGATGTGGAGCTTAGCAACGTACCATAGCGATATTCAAAGCTTTAACCATTAGATTTTAAAGGGCATAAACCAAAGATACAATTAAAAATATTTTTTTCTATGATATTTTCCACGATTTATCTAGTTTCCCGCAGGTGTATTATCAGTAGTAATATCCCTAGGACATTTGATAACAGACGAGATAATTTCATGACAATCGAAAGCTCGTTCCTTGGTAACAGCACGAAGCCGAAGGCTGAGTATGGTACGAAAATCACTCGTCTTTTTAATATACATTTTAAACACTAACGATGCGATGGTAAAATACATGGATAATGCGATGATAAAAACAGCAATTCAATATGTGGAACTACAAGAAATAACAACAGAGAGAAACAAACATCTTGGTGGGACGATGAAGTGAAAAAGAAATTATGGAAATAATACATACAAGACAAAACACAACAAAAATATGAAAATTGTAAGAGACAAAGAACAATAGTTAAAGAGATAGTTAAGAAAGAGAAAATTTGGAAAAAATTCGGAGAAAAAATGGAAGAAAACAGCACAGAAAACGTAAAATTATTTTATAGAACACTGAAAAACCTAAGAAGCAACAAAGAAACGAAATTGAAGCAAATAATGAACAAGGAAGGAACAATAATAAACGACGATAAGACAATAATGGAAAGGTGGAGGGTACATTTCCAGCTGATACTGAATGGAAATCAAACGAATACAATGGAGAAGGAAACCCACATCAAGAGAGTATACATGAGAAACACGGAAAATCCAGAAACTATAGAAAAATATGAACTGGAAGAAGTAATAAAAAAGATAAAGATTGGAAAAGCACCAGAAAGCGATGAAGTAGCACCATAAATAATGAAATATATAGGAGTAAAAGCAAAAGAAACATTGTTATACATATATAACCTAATGTGGAAGAGAAAAGTAATACCCAGAGAATGAACAAATACAGTAATTATACCTATATACAAGAAAGGAAACACAAGACAAATTAGAGAAATGGAATCTAGAAGCAAACAAATACAACTTAAACGTAAACAAAGAGAAGACTCATATAATAAAAATATCAAGGCAACAAGGGACGGAAGATCAAATAGAAGTAATGATAGACCAACAAAAAATATTACAGACAAATTCATACAAATACTTAGTAACAGTAATCAACAACAAAGGAGAAATCGAGGACGATCTTAACAACAGAATGGAAAACACAGGAAAACTATTCCAAGCACTAAATAGAGGATTCCTTAATAACAGAGAAATATCAACAAAGGCCAAGATGACAATATATAAAACAATATGTAGACCTACAGTGACATATGGAGCAGAAAATTGGATATTAAACAAAAGACATCAGAGCAGAATTCAGGTAGCAGAGATGAATTACCTCAGAAGAATGCTCGGAGTAAAAAGAACTTATAGAATCACAAATAAAGAAATAAGAGAAAGACTCAAAATCAAACCGATACTCGACTCAATCAAGGAGAAAAAATTGGCATGGTTCAGACATCTCCCCCGGATGGACAATAATAGACAAGTAAAAAAAGTGTGGGACGCCAAACCAATAGGTAAGAACAGAAGAGAAAGACCCATTAAATAATAGAATAGTGACATCTCGCAGATACTGCAGAGTAAGGGTAAGACTTGGCAGGAAGCAATAATAGAAAGGAATGGAGAAAGTTCGTTAAGAGCTAGGACACCTCAAAAGATTGTAAAATATTGTAATTTAATTAATTGTATTATAAACGACCGTACAAATGGGTCTACTGATTAAGTAAAGTATAAACATTAACAATAAAAATTTTACCAACGAGGTGTCAAAAGATGTATTTGTCACTGAAGTATACAATCAACATATTATGATAATTTAGAAATATTTTAAAATAAACATATAGGTAGTATTTCTGTAATAGTACTGGTAGTATTTAACTTAATTAAAATCAAAGACTCATCGCTTGCGATAAAAATACTTTATACTTAACTAACACACATAAACTTCTAAAAAAAAATCTTAATTTTCATATAAAATTCAAATAGCTTACTTACTTCCATAATGTGGATAAATTAACCACTAATTAAATAATTACATTACAATGTTTAAGTACTATTCACACAACAAAGATAAACACCCATAAAGAATACAGATTTTTTGATCACCAATATTTTGGAAGATAATGCTGATAAAACATTATAAGATTTTTTAATTTAAATTACTCTCTCTCTCTCTCTCTCTCTCTCTTCAATGGCGCTACAGCCTAAATCGTGCCTTGGTCTTCTCTAAAATATATCTCTAACCTTGCCGGTCCCTCGCCGATCTTCTCCAGGTTTTCACGTCTAGCAAATTTTGCGCATTCGCTGTTACTTCATCCTCCCACTTTTTCCGTGGCATTCCTTTTGTTATTGTGTCCTGCATTTTAATATCTAGGGTTCTTTTTGGGAATCTTTCGGTCCATTTTCACTACATGACCAGCCCATGGAAGTCTCTGAAATTTAATGAATTCTGAGAATGATATCTCTTTGAACAGTTAGTAGAGTTCATGGTTGTACCTAGATCTCCATACCCCGTTTTCGTTAATAGGTCTAAATATCTTCCTGAAGACTTTTCTTTTCAAGACTTCCAGCTTTCGTTTTATGTCTTTTGTCATTACCCACATCTCGCATCCATAACATACTATTGGCTTCATAATAGTTTTGTAGGCCCTGATTTTCGGTCTTCAGTATGTGTTTTTGGAGCAGAACACATGGGCGAATAAAAAGAAAGTCATGTTTTCCTTTAATATTCTTATTTGAATTTCTGGTTCTTATGTTCCATTCATATCTAATGCAATTCCCAGATATGTGAAACTCCCTAGAGTTTTAATATCGTTCTTTAATTCAACTGTGTGTCTGCTCTAGTTCTTGTCTGTTTTAGTTTTTTGTCTTTTAAATATTTATGTCTAGTCCAGTCTCTTCTGTCACTGTTTTTAATTGTTAATATATTTCTGCCGTAACTTCTGTTCTGCGGGATATAATGCTAATGTCATCGAGGTAACTATTTCTTAATTTGGTTTGTAAATAGAATGTTTTGATTACGACTTTAATTTAATACACACGTAAAATGTTCGATGTAAAATCCAATAAAATTATTCTGTTATTTTATCAAATCCTATTAATAATTATACTGCTGATATATTTATTTTATTTAATATTTCGTTAAATACTGACTTTGTTAAAGGTATTTTATAACAAAATTCAGAAGTATTGATGTTTTTATCTATTTTTCTTTCATTGCCTGGAGTAATTGCGTTATTTCAGAATTATGCAGTTGATTTTTAAAATGCGATTATCTCGAAAACTGTTGAGTTTTGAAGTTATTAATAGGTATACCTTTTTTTGTTAAAATAAAGTATCTTTAATATTTTTTTATCAAAAATACCGGTAACTTGAAGAACCAAAAAGTTAAGTGCAAATATATGCCACGTATGTGGCATTATGTGGCGCCCTCTATTAGCTATATCAAAGTATGTATCAAATTATAATTTCGGATATTCAATAGTACCCAGCCGTAAATTTTTATACATAAATGTTTACAAACATGAAAGTTATAGCGAAAAATAAAATTTTAAATTTCCAATTTAACATCCTGTATCTTTTTTAATATCAACATTTTATTAAAGCAAGTTGGCTTAAATCGTAATATTTTAAAGTGTAAAATCTGCGGTTTTTTTTTGTACAATTACTTAAGGACCACCCTGTATAAAAACTAAACTAATAAATACTATACTATATAGTCGGACAGTTCTCAATTAAAGGTGACTAATATACAAATTGAACTAAACGGTAGCGGCAACCGTGTAAAATGTCAGTAGTAAATTCTTACAGGGGTCATTTTTATTGTGTATACTTCGTCCATGTAAATAAGCGAAAAAGTAGTA